CCCTTTCTCCTCCATTCTCCTCTCGGCATCTTGGGCACGCACGCACACGTGCCCGGCGTGAGTTTAAGCCACCGGGTCCGGGACTTGAACCGCCGACGACTACGTGGGAGTCCAGCGACATAGCTGTTACTCTAACTGCAGGTCCCAACAAAAAACTTTTTAAAAATACTAAACAGAACTCTAAGCTAAACTGTTTGCATTTTTCAGTGTCCCCCCATCCATGGCCGGGTTTCGCTTTCTTGGGACCTGGTGGAATGCTTGCTGCAGAAGCCATTTTGTGTTGGGCTTGGGACCAGTGGCATTAGAGTTCTCCACATCTCAGGCCAGCAGTCTCTGGATCTTATCCAGAATATCCCTGTTCTTGGATGTTTAGGATGTTTCTCACTTAAAGTGTGTGTGTGTTCATTGTCATAATTATTTTTATTCATTGTCATCTTTTTTTTTTTTTTTTTTTTGAAGTTGACCAGAGAGACAGAAAAGTGAGAAAGCAAACTGCCAGGTTCAGGACTTGAACCATGCGGAGCCGTGTGGGAGTCTAACACCTTAACCACGAAGCTACCTGTTAGCCCTTCTCATTTCAAATGTTAAAGTAGTCTGTAGGAAACTTCTTTGTTTTTTGGATTTTTTTAGGTTTTTGCAATAGGTTACATGAGAGAGACAGAAAGTGAGAAGTCACAACCCCCACACCTCATCCCCAGGGAATGACCACTCTGCAATCCTTTCTCTATTCTATCTGGATTTTGGGCATCCCCACAGAAGTTCCTGGCAGGATTCTCAGGCTGCTGAGTCTGAGTCTTAAAACCATGGTTGACCAAGTGGGAATCCATCACCCTAACCACCATGCTCCTATTGGCTCCCTTCTTGAGATATAATTGACATACCATAAAATTCACCCTTTAAGGGGCTGGTAGGTAGTGTGGTTGTTAGGAGCACTGGGCGCCCACATGGCTAACCGTGGTGTGAGTACTGGACCTGGTGGCTTATTCTCTCACTTTCTCTCTCTCTCTCCCCCCTCTGGTCAATTTTTTAAAAAATAAATGAATAAATAAAGTTAAATAAAATAATTCTTTAAAAAATTCACCTTTTTAAAAATTTATGATTCAGGGAACCAGCAGTTAGCGTAATGGCTATGTCGCTAGACTCCCACGTAGTCGACCGCGGTTCGCGTCCCAGACCCGGTGGCTTAAAACTCACGCCGGGCACTTGTTCGTGCATGCCCAAGATCCCGAGAGGAGAATGGAGGAGAAGGGATTGTGGCGTGACCATCCCTGCGGGGGCGGGGCAGGGGGTGATTGTTCGCTTTCTGTCTCTATGTCTCTCTGTCTGGCAAACGCACGCGCCCTATAGCGGAAAACCTCTCAAAAAAAATATACATACGATTCAATAGAGCTTTTATTTTATTTTATTTTATTTTTCAGTTTTGCAAAAGATTGTATTTGATACTTGGAAGGATGGAGAAAGGGAGTGAGAGAGAAAACACCCCACACCCCTCATGTCCTTTCTCCTCCATTTCTCCCTTCATTAGGGATTTGGGGTGCGTACACACACACACACACACACCCCAGAATGGTTTTCCAACCTGCCAGGATTTTGGACACAGAATCAAACTGCTGAGTTGGGCATGTGGGGTCCAGCTTCTTAACTACCATGCCACTGGCTGACCTGAATTTTTTAATTATATATTGAAAAGATTGTGCAGCTCGCAACCATTACCATTATCTAATT